GGAGAGGAGTCTGAGAAAATTCATACCTACTAGATTTTTTTTTCTGGGGGAAAGAGAATGTTGTTTGATTGTTGGCAACAAGGGCACTGTGGAGAGGGTGGGGGAACTGAGGTTTTAAATGCAGTAGGGAGACTCGGATCAAGGAAAAAATTATATATCAGAGGTCTTGCTAAGGTTTGCAGTGGGGGTGGGGAGGAGGGGGAGGGATCAAAACATGGGTGGAGAGAGCATAAGGGACTATGGAGATGGTGCCTGGGTGAACTGGTGGTGAGAATTTTAAGGAGACTACACACAAGATGATAAAGCATACATTGTATAAAAATGAAGAATTATATATATATATGTATATATATATATATATATTAAATAAAATAGTTTGCAACCATGAATTTGTATTGTGGTTCATGATTAAACAAATGATTTTTCCCCTTAGCAATCACTATCAGCAGAAGCAAAGTAAATAGGAAAGTAAACTGATTCAGAGTAGAGGTTGGCAGGAGACATGTATAGAGAACTGAAGATGCTGGTGAGTGTCAGGAGTGAAAGGAGTTAAGGACTGGGACTGTCACCCTGAAAGGTCAGGAGGGACACAGGAGAGCAAAGAGCAAAGCTGTGAGCCAGCTTTGTAGTTCAACAAGATAATCCAGATCCTGAAGCTACTCAGATACCAAGCTGAGAGAGGGATAGAGAGGGGACAATGTAGTTAAGGAGGGGGTGGCAGGAGGTTTTGTTCCCAGAACTCTGGCAAGAGTTGAGAGAATTCATATTTGCAGAATCTGAGTATTACTGAATCAGGGTTTGAGCAATTTAGAAGAGCACTTTAAATCTGAGCTGTCCGGTAGACCTGGGGCCCAAGGAGAAAGCCTTAGTTCTTAATGATTCAGTCAACAAAAAGAAACAGCAAAGCCTTGGATTAAAGACTATAACTTAGGGTATACTAGAAAATAATGGGAGTGACCCACAAGATTAGGTAATAGAAAGAACTGGTCTCCCTAGGGATGGATCAGGGAGGGCCTGGAAAAGATGAAAGTCATATCATAAAAAATCTCACAGAAGTGAAGTCAACCAACATTATGTACCTGCAGTTTACCTAGTTTACATGTATGTGTCAGACCATAGCTAGATAGGTTACACAAAATGCCTCTGACCAAGGGTTGGGAGGTGTAACCCAAATTAACATTCATTTGTTGATTTAAGCCACACAACAACCCTGTGAGATAGGTATTGTTCTTATTACATTTTACTCTTGAGATAATACTATGGCTTAGAGAAGTTAAGTAACTTGCCCATCCATGATTAGTAGTGTGATATCATGGGCATCCAAAGTTTATACCCTAAGAATTGTAAGACTGTCCAAAGTTTCTACAGTACACATAAATTACATCGATGCAAAATTATCTGGAAGAGAAATTCCTCTTTATACCCTCAAACCATGACTCAGGCACGGATAGCAGAAAGTAGTAAATGACCATAAGCCTAAGCAGATAAACCTACCCTTTGGGGGCTCCCTGTATCACATGTATTAGGCATCTCCTCCACCAACTCTAGAAACCAGCAAGTCTGTCCCAGGGAACTATTCAGTCTTGACTCCTTTCATTCAAAATCCATTATTCAGGCTCAGCTGTAATTTGTATATTTACTACGTTACTACTAGGCATTTTTCCTTTTAATAATAAAAGGATTGGCCCTCCCTCATGGCACAACGGGTCAAAGCACAGTTGCAGCCACTTCGGTGCAAGTTTGATCTCCAGCCCCAGAGGTGACCCACACAGCACAGCAGACTTATGACCTGCCCAGTGCTCCCCTTAGCAGTGCACCTCATTGATCTGCCTGTTCTGCTCCCCACTTTGTCTTTGGTGAATCCTCTCACTGCCCCTGCATCTCTGGCTTGCACCCCAGTTCTATAAGCATAAATAAATAAATATTTAAAAAATATAATAAAAGGATTGTATGTATACTCTTTCAAAAGCACATTTGCTTGTGTCAGATAATGAAGCTGATCCTATGTTCTTACCCTTTCTGTTTTATCTGCACAGAAGAGTCGTGTGTGGTGTCTTTTCTGTACCACAATATAAGTTATTCCTGGCCGGTAATCTTCTTCCAAGCTAATACATGCCTTCCGAATTGCTATTAGTTCTGGCCAAGCTACCTGGGAGGTAGAAAGAAAATGATATTTAATTGAGAACTCACCTGGTGTCCTTCAGATAAGATTGATCCAGGGTGTTAGATAGGAGGAAGTTCCTTCATGAACACCCAGAAGACTCAAAGGGCAACTGTAGGATGATGAAAGTACCTGTTTCATTTGTCCTTCGGACACCCCTCCACGGTAGTAGATGATCCTAGTGGGTTTGAAGCGTGTGGATTTGTAGAACTGGATAAGCAGCTCTCGAACCATGTTAGTGAGGTCCTGGATTACCTCCTGACTATAGAGGAGCTCCTGGGAGACCTCCTGGCGAGAGGTCTGCACCCGGACGGTGGCACAGTACCTGCTAGGGTGGCCGTCCATGCTGCCTACCACAGCAGCGATGGAAGGCTTCTTGCCGTCCCCGGCTGGGGGGTGTGTGACATCCGCCCCCAGGAAGATGACAGGCTGCTGGAACACCGAGGGCCTGCATAGATTTAAGGAGACATCACCATTGAGACATAGATGAAAATGTTTGGGTTTAACAAGATCATCAGATATAATCGCAGATTGATAAGTGAGAATAAAGACCTGTGCCACTGGGCAAGAATGCGAAGGTCCCGAGAGTGTCTGTGCCACCCCCTACAATGAATCTAAATTAGTTGATGTCAAGATGATTCTTCTGTCTAGTAGAAATGAAAAAAAAATTTAACAAAATCTGTAGATATAAAGGGAAAACTTTCCCAAAACAAACTCTCTCAGGATTCTTCGTTTCCTGTAACGAACACGGAATTGCAGAATATACCTGGGACTAGAACTAAATCCCCAATTATTTTTAAGGTGTGAGATTAAAGGGTAATAATCAATAATCTAGTCTATCTCCTTTCCTATTTTATTCTTATCTGGTATATTTATCACTTATAACCACATATTTCATTTACTGAACACACACACACACACACACACACACACAAAACTAGAATGTAAATTCCAAAAGGACAGAAAATGCTGTTTTGTTTTGTCTTATATCCCTAGCACCTAGAACACCACCTGCTACACAGCTGGAACTCACTAAATAAATATTTGTTGAAAGAATGAATCAATTTATTTGGCATTGACTTATATAAAGAATTAAGGGGAACTGTCATGCATGCTTCTCTAGTAAATTCTTAAAAGTTAGAATACAGGTCTCAGTTTTGATTCTTACAGTGAATCTATAAGGGATTCCCAATCTGAAAATCTCATATTATAGGTACTAAAGAAGAGGTGCCTACCTGACAGCAGAAACTGTCTTGTGTTTCTCTAGATACATCATCATATAATATGAAACCGGCACAGAGCAGTGTAACAGTGACCATGCACATGCAACCTACCCACAAAATACCAGCTTCCACATATTATATACCAGCTGTTGGGCTAAGCACTTTACATATATGGACTCAGTCCTCATAATAATTTTGAGGATGGTATAATTGTTATCTCAAATTTCCAGAGTCATAACAGAATAAGGAACTTGTTGAAGATCACATAGCTAGGAAGTGGTAAAGCTGGAGTCTAAGCCCCGGAAGTCTGACACCAAAGTATGTATTCTAAGCCATTTGGCTATTTTATTTTGGAGCAAAATTAAATGATTTGAGACTTTAGATTCACTTCCTTTATGGCCTGTATCTCTCATCTGTCAATGTTGCTGGAAGGATTTATTTGCCTAGAACTTTCACTCAAGGACAAAAATGAGAATTGTGATGATTGTGTAAGAGTAAGGTATGCAACTTCACTATTGTTTAGAGTATGGCAATAATTAAATACCATAGCTCTAAACTTAACTTTCAAATGCCTTTCACATGAAAAGATTTTAAATTGATAAATCAGACATAATCTCAATAGATAATGAAAATACTAAAGACCCAATATAAAAAATAGACAAAGGAACGAATAGGCCATAACAAAAGATGATGTACAAATAGTCAACTAAGCATATAAAAAAATGATCAACACGATTAGCCACTAGGGAAATCAAATGAAAACTATAATGAGCTACTAGTAATCTTTAGCCAAAATGGCTAAAAATAAAAGAACTGATACTACCAAGTGTTAGTGAGAATATTGAAAATGTAAATTGGGACAACAACTTTGGAAATCTATTTGACAGTATCTATCAATGCTTAATATATGAATCCTCTGTAACTGGGCAAATGTTTTCCTGGACACACCAAAGAAAGAGTACTTAAGTCTCTCCAAAATGTAGAAGAATTGAATAATGACTGTATAAGAATATCCATCAGTGGTAGACTAAGTTAAAACATTTTGGTATACTTATATAAAGAATATACAACAACAAAAGTAAAATAATACTTAATGCAACAATATGAATAAACCTCAAAGACATTAATACTGAACAAAAGAAGACAGGCATAAATACTACTCACTGTATGGTTCCATTTATATGAAATTCAAAACCAGGCAAAACTATCTAGACTAAAAAAGATGAAAATGGTGGTTACCTTTGGTGGTTATCTACTGTCAGGGGCCACAGGAAGCCTAATGAGGTGCTGGAAATGGTTTATATCTTAATATGGGTGATGATTATATGAGAATGCACATATATAAGAAAAATTTGAGATGCAAATTTGAGCTTTATAGGCATTACCATACATTATGTTAAGTTAGGTGTCAATAAAAAAAGTGGGGGAAAAGTTCAAAATCTTACCTTTGATGAGGTACAAGTACATTGTTAATTCCTCCAAGCTTTGCATTTATCTTCAGGCAAAGGTTAGAAAGTGTTTGAGGTGAGGTTTTCACCACATTTTTCACCTGGACACACTGTGTGGCCATACCCAGGAGGGTATCCCCAACACGTTTCACCTCCGCTACAAAAATAGGATAGTGAAATTTTAAAATTTTAAGTATTTCATTTAATTTATTTCTAATTATTAACTTTATTGAGGTAGCATTGGTTTCCACACTGTTTTAGAAGTATAGGTTCAAACCTCTTTAATTGTATGTAAGTTCATTAATTTTAATGTGTTTAAATAGCCTAGTTACTAAGTGGAGGGAAAAACTGCACATTAATATTTATAAAGCACCTTCTTTAGAGTCTACAACCTGCTAGAGGCTTTTCACATCTGATCCTTTCACCTGCTACACCCCCAGGTGATTTTTTTTCTCCAGTTTGATAGTCTGATAGATGGCCCCACCCCAGGGGGTCTCAGAGCCAGTTCATTGCCTTCCTTCTTTCTGCTGCCACTCAGTTCCTTGAGGTTTCCTTTCTCACAGGACTGGTCTAGCACAGGAACCAATCTCCCAGTTTCTCTGTCTCATTCTACTAGCCTGCCCTTTTAATTTTAAAAGATTTTCCTTCAGAAAAAAACAAAGTAACTATAATAAAGTAAAAATCAAAATCATCAGGTAACTATGAACCAGAGACACTCTGTAGGGGAGAATGAGGGGAAGGACCAGATTAGGGGTGGGAAGAGCACAGTGACTACGTGATGGTTCACAGGTGACTTGGTGGTGGGAATTTCATGGGGAAACCAAACAATACAAAAATGAAGGATGATGTAATCAATACATTTTAAAAATTTTAAAAAAAAGTTTTTTTGCTCATGTTTCCCCCCACTCCCTGAAACACTAGAGATAAACAGAAGTTAACAAAAGCAGCAAGCAGAGGGTTGAAGACATCTGACAAAGTTCAAAAGGCTGATCAGAACGATGCATCAATTTTTTTAATAGATATAAACTAAACCCTCTTTTCCTGAAAGTGGTGGGCTCCCTACTCTTTCTTATTCGGATTCCTCAATACTTTTCATCAAATATCACAACTCTCCCGTCTTTCGGGACTATGGTGAGCTAGAATGCATGTGCCAGCCCTCACTCCCACTGCATTTCCTGGCCCAATTCCTGCAGACCCCCACCTCATACCTCCCAATGCCCTTCCAAGCTGGGTTGAAAAGAGCCATGTAGCTGGTTATGTCCAAACAATTACAAGATAGCAAAAGCCCTTCAGAGCTCTGTCTTCTCTCTGCCATGGGACCAGCAACATTCCAGATAGTGACTGTTTTGGCAGGCTGCATCCGAGCGAAAATGATCAGATGACACCAGCAGACCATGGTCTAACCTTAGTGAACACAGCATAATAAAGCCTTTGCTGCTCTGAGCCACTCAAGAATTTGGGGTTGTCTGTGACTACAGCATAACACGGTTTCTCCCAACTGATACACCTATTACTTGAACTCATCCCTCATTTAACATTAAAAGGGTCCATACCATATACTGGTGTCTTCCCAGGCAAGATAACCACTATCAGCTGTAGGCCTACATAGGTCATTTTCAGGTGCTTAAACATGGGCTCCACGCTGTCTGCTCCCTGTGCATACTTGCAGAAGCATGGCTGACCTTGGATGGGCATCCCTGCATCCTTAGAAATTTTACGGAGCTGGTCAGTGAAACTCCTGTTAAAATAGAACCAGTGGCACAGTGCTTTCATTTCAAAGTACACTTTGCCTGCATTTCCCTTTAAGATATTTTCATTAAAAATCCTGTAAATTCTTAGCTAAAATTTGAAGCAAATAAATAAACCATCTTTAACTTGTTGCCAAGAATAGACCAGCAATCACATGACTACAATTATAAGAAGAATCTGTGTTATTAAGTTATCAGGTTATTATTTTTAATTTTTAAATAATTGTACCTCAGCTGGGCTGCAAGAACTAGAATGTCACTATTCCCACCCAAAGATTTAAGACAACAAAATACAGTGCTGTTGGAAATTCTGCACTGAAGAAAAAAAGCAAAGTCAAAATTTCAAGTAGTGTATATTTTGGTAATCCTGGTACAAGAATATTTAGGGCCATTTGTTTTCAATTGAGAACATGGAAACAAGCTGTCACAAAATCAATGTACTTAGGATTATATTCTAACTACTAACAGACCTGATTTAGTCACACTGTCAAAAGAAATAGTCACTTAGGAAAAGCAAAATTCATTGTGAGGATTTACATTTTAGATTTAAGAAGTTACTTAATCTTTTGAAATAACTCATGTGCTTGCCAATATTTTAAAGCATTCCTTCCTTTTGTATTAGTTCCCTTTCTTTGCTTTAATTTTTCTGCTTTTCCTACTAAATTCTTTCTCTCTACATCATCTGTAAGATATGAATCACTGACCTGCTGTGGTAATCCTACAGTCAAATAAGCTCACTAGTAATTAACAGAATGGTGAAAATGAACTAGTTTTTATCTTAGCTGAAGAGATACAATTAATACCAAAGAAAGTTTCACTGAGACCTTAAGAACTCGCCGAACAGCTTCTTGTTAGTCACAAATTTTTTACTCTAAATGCAAGGAAGCTGAATCAGATTCTTAAAGTAATTCCATTTACTGTAACACAAGGTCTTTTTCCTATAGCCAGATGGGGGCACTGTTGGAATCAGAGACTAGTGCCGTGCTAACGGCACATTCACATAAAGATGGCATTTTTCATATCTGGAAGGGATATTACTAAGCTGAAAATATGAAGATACTCACTTTAGTAAATCTTCCCTACATTGTTTCTGAGGCGCAAAACAAGCAACTGCCCAGACTTTAATTTCAATGCCAGCATAAAACTGCTTTCCTCGCATGTCCCAGACACCCTGGTTGGGTGTGGCTACTGTTTTATTCTTTAAAAAAAAAAACAAAAACAAAAAAGAAACAAAAGAGAAAAGACATTACAATCTAAGGCCATATTAAAGTTGGTGAGGGGATAAGCAACACTCTATTTGATATTAGCCAAAGGACAAAGAGCAATTTGGACAAAACTACAGATAAATTCAGTCTGTTGCAGTGGAAAAACACTGGGATATTCTCTTTTTGACTAGTTGCTCAAAGAAGCTTCTGAAAAAAAAAAAAACAAACAAACAAAAACCTTACCCGGCCTCCGTACTGCAGCATTGGTGCTGGGAGCACTCTGCCTGTGAGCTCTGTCATTTCATTGTGGACAACGATGCCAAACTCTTTAAGGTAGGGATCAGGTCCACCCACCATGCTGTTACTCTTCACCTAAAGAACAGGAAAGCCTGCATATATAAAAACCAAAGAGTAACTGTGTCCCATCAGGTGGCTTTATTGTTTTGGCTTTTTTTTTTTTCTTCTTAAAGCTAGTTTATCTTCCAGACCATGCCTTACTGACCAGTCTACTGATTTCCTCCTGCCTGTCCGGTGCAGATCTTGCTGTGGCTTTGATCATGGTGGAAGTCTGATTGTCTGTGAGCTTCTTGATACATCGCTGTCCTGCCACGATATTACAGACCTACAGAGGCAAAGAGAAATTAGCCTGTGCAATGGGCTTCTAGACCTTAAGCCTCTGCCAAATGGTATCTTCCAGCTAAAAAAAAAAAAAAACAAAGAAAGAAAATGCAACAAGTGAAGTTATCTGTCCAAAATATTTTAGAAAATGATACTTAGTTCTAGCACTAGCTTTAAAAGTTACTTTTTGAGGAAAAATTCACATTCAAGAGATTGGCAGACTGGCAAAAGAAAATTTAGCTTAACTCACCTCAAGTGGCAAGTATGTATGCTTTTGTTCTTGTCCCACTTGGAGACAGGGAAGATGGGGGTATTTCAGTTGCAGACTGTACTTTTGCTTAAAATATTGAGCTACTGTACATTCCATAGCTTGACCATTTTCTAGCTGTAAAGGAAATCTAAAGGAGAGAATGTCATTTTAGAACTGTCTTTGGTTCCTTTTTTTAAACAAACAAAGCTGACATTTTCTTTGATCAGTCACTTAAAAATGTTCATCTTTATATGAACATTTATCTTGTTATTTTATATTTAATCAGAACAGTGATTTGATTGGATTCTGCAAATTTGCTGAAGACAGGAACAGAAAAAATTTCAATTAAAATGCTGAAAGAAGTAAAAACAAGAAGGAGCTGCAGAACCAGAAAATCCGCAGGTCTGTTGAGCTAAGGATAGGGAGGGAGCACAGTGGACTACAGTACTGGACTGTAGCTGCTCTGGTGGTGGGAAGCTGTGGTTAAAGCTGCCAAGAGGATAACAGCACAGGGAGATGCCCATTGAACAGCCAAAAATGCCAACAACAATGTGAAACAATGTTACCTGAACTAAAGAGAAAAAAAAAAAAAGAGCTACAGATACAAATGTACCTCTTGCTGGCTTATTACAAATAATGAAACTCAACTAAGGATCCAGGGTAAATAAAGCACAGAGGAGATTTATTTCTGTGAGAAAATGTTTTGTAAAATGAGTATAACTGCACTCCCTGGTGGTGCAGCAGGTTAAAGCACAGCACTAAGAAGCTAAAGCCACTTCAGCATGAGTTCGATCCCCACTACAGAGGTGACCCACATGGCGCAGTGACCTCTCCTGGCCCGCCCGCTGCTCCCCTCAGCAGTGTATTTCAACAAGCTGCCTGTTCTGCTCCCCACTCTGTCTCTGGTGAAGCCTCTCACCGCCCCTGTGACTCTGGCCTGTACCCCAGTTCTGTATGCATAAATAAATAAATCTTAAAAAAAAAAAAGATTTGAAATAAAAAAAAAAGAGTATAACTGTCATTGGGGCCACATTTTCAGATCCTCACACCAGGACAAATACATGTGAATTTGGAGGGAGTAAGATTTCCAAATACACGAAATTGAGATTGCACCAGGATATTTCTTATAAACTGGGAAGTTTGACTTAAGCGATTCCCTTATTTGGCTCTTTGAAGGAACAAATTATCTCAACTACTAGGCACAACAGTAACTTTAATCTTGCTTTCTTAACTGCTATAGCCCCGCAAAGTAACAATGCAATGCATATCACTAATTTTCATGCAAAGATTATATAGGTCTATAAGTATAATTATTCTTATTTGAAAGATTTATTTTATTTATTCATGCATACAAGAACTGGGGGTGTAAGTCTGAGGTGCAAGGGGGGAAGTGAAGAGATTCACTTATGACAGAGTAGGGAGCAAAACAGGAGTATCTATTGAAATACACTGCTGTGGGGAGCAGGGGCCATGGCAGGAGAGGTCTGCTGTACCACATGCATCAGCTTTCTGGCTGGGGATTGAACTCATGCTGCAGTGGCTGGCCATAGCTTGACAATGCTAAATCTTTAACTCCTGCACCTCCAGAAAGGCCCAATATTCTTATGGGTCATGTAAAATAAATAATGGAGGAGACAACATTCTTTAAAAATGCTATAATTCAATAGTTTTTGGTAATATTTTTCACTCTAGAGAATGAAGTCAATGGTATAATATGAAGAATACATTTATCACTCTTAAAAATCCATATAATGGGTACATGAGTTCATACTGAAGAATTTACTCAAACCAGACTGAGGTAATATACTAAATTTATCTAGAGGCCATCAAAAAGCTTCAGCTATCAAGCACAAAGTCCTCTAGGTGATTGTGATATATAATAAAGTTTGAAAAATCTTCTGAGTAACCAAAAGGAAAGCTGATATATTTAAGTTTACAATCTACTCAAAAAAGCCAATATTCAAGCCAGACATGAGTTTAATGATCTTAGTTACAGGAATTAAACTTACCTATATGATCATCTAAAAAGCACTTTTGTATATACTTTCTCATGAGACAGTTCACAGTGGAAAAGAAGTTGGGTGATTAGAAAGTGAGTTTGCGGAAGTTGAAAATTAGTGTTGTGCTGGAGGCAAGCCATACTCACAGCTGCAATAAGCACCAGCTGGCTACAAAAAGATCTGTAGCTGTGTAGAAAGATCTACACAACTCATAAAGCAATAGTTATCTTCCCATGACAGTGTTCTATTACTTATAGGCCTCAATAGACCCCTTGAGCTATGCATTGAGAATTACAAGTATATAATAAATGATACCTGTAATGTCCCTGAATTATTAAATAAAAGCTGACCTGTTTGGCATACTCTAAGAGGTGAAATTAATTAAAGCCAGAGAATACATTTTATAAATATCTCTATCAAAAATATTAAATTATTTTAAAGTTTGGTGCTTAAAAGTAAAGATCTCAGCAATTTTGAAAATCACAATATGGAATATCAATTTTGCAAATGATTACAGCTGCTGTTTCTGCTATCAAAATGTACTGGTATTATTTTAGATATGGCGAACATACGTTTGGTGACTGGCTGGCCGTCTAGTCACATTACAAACTCGATATTTTCGTTTCATCTGTCCACAATGAGTCACCTCAACTTTAAGACCTTAAGGTTAAAAAAAAAGTCAAACCATCAGTATTACTTGAACACATAATGGCAAAAACAGATGTGAAAGTTGTCTTTAGAAAATTATTTACATTATATAGGACAAAAGGACAGAGTCATACTTCCAAGGACAGAGTAATACTCCCAAAATAGGCAAAGTAGGAAAAACTAGAACTCAGACAACTTAAGATGTACAAACTACTTTAACTTATTAATTCATTCAAAAGTATCGATTAGGCATCAATTATGTTTGGGTGCTCCCAGGTCTGGAAACCTCCCTAAAGAAGCTTATATTCTAAAAAGAAAAGTTAGTTAATAACAAATTAAGAAAACAAATCCCAAAAGAATAATAAATGGACTTTTATTATTTTATTAAGATGGAGTTTTTAAGTGGGTAAGGATAACAGTTACTGAATGCCTAACATGTTTCAGGCTAAAATTTTGTAAGTTGAATCTTCACAACTCTGCAAGATACGTATCATTACCTTTGCCTTCGAGAGGCATAAAGTAAGACTCACAATGGCAATGTAACTTGCCCAAGTTCCTATTGACCAAGCCGGGGACGATGGAAGCCCAGGTGTGGTTCTTGTGCTTCTTGAACTATGCTGAGTTGCCTCTCTGAAGCTAATGCATGGAATAAGTGATGCAAATACCTACCTCTGATTTCTTTGGTAAATTTGACACGCTGGGAGTCTGTTAGAGGTTTGGTCTGTTCATTGATGTTCTGAATGTCTAAAACTTCACACATGAATTCAATGATAGGCTGAGCCCGGTAGAAAGCAGTTGCAGATACTGACAGATGAAGAGAAAGGATACTTAGCTTAGCTTCAGGGAACAAAAAAACCAAAAGAGTAAAGGTAAAGGAAGTTTCACTCACCATCAATATTGAGCATCATATTCCACATGGCCGGCCTCACAGACTGATGAAAGCCAAACCAGACCTCCCTGCCTCCTCCCAGCGGGTGGTAGTAACCTTCAGGAGGGGAGAAAAAGGAACGGCCCACTGGGGTGTACCTGAAGAAATGAGAGTTTACATGTTCCACCATGAAAACTTGAAAGACTTTCATTTCACTTTCAACTTTGTAAATAAAAGCCAAGTTTGAACTCTAAATCATACAGAAACCTCTCAGTGTCTCCAGTGTCACCACCCAAGAGAAGTTTGATATTTGTGGGAAAGAACCCAAGCTAAAGTACAAACCTCATGGAGGGAAGGTGTCTTGTGATAACATCAAGTGCTTGGACTGAGTCATCTGGGACTTCATTCAAGTGCCCGGTCAAAGCTTCTAACAGCAACTGAAGACTCACAACTGACACCCACTGCACAGATACTTTAAAGGTTTGGTCTTTACCTTCACCTGGAAGGGTCACTTCCATATCAACCTAAGGGGGAAAAAGTGTAATTTACTTACAAAGGGAAAGGGAAACTCCTAGGAATATTTAATATATGCATAAGGATATTTATTTTAACACTTTTGTCATTGTAAAACACTGGGAAAAACCTAAGGATCTATCAGCAGGGGGTAAGGAGTAGTTTAATGAGGAATATTATGCAATACTTTAGAAACAAGAGTGATGCTACAACATGGATCAACCTTGAAAACATTATGCTAAGTGAAGTAATCCAGCAGAAAACAACATATCTTGTAGGATTCCATTTATATTAGGTATCTCAAATAGTCAAATTCATAGCACAAAGGAGAATTTTAGTTATAGGGACTAAGGGAGGGAGAAATGGGTCATTGTTTAATAGATACAAATTTCAGTTTGAGATGGTAAAAAAAATTCTAGAGCTAGATAGTAGTCAGAATTACAAAACAATGTAATTACACTTAATGCCCTTGAATTATACACTTAAAAATGGTAGTAATTTTATGTTATGTATACTTTACAATACAAATAATTTGATTTTAAAATTTTAAGGTAGATTGAAATGCAGAGAAATGGAAAGATCTCCTAGACATATTGGTAAATGGGGGAAAAATCATAAAACAACATGCAAGCAAATGAGAACATACATTAACATGTGTATAAACAGTTAATGCACATTAAAATATCTGAAAGGATAAACAGCAAATTATCAAAGTAGTTTGTTCCCCCTGAAAAGGGAAATGAAATTCAGGGTGCAAGTGGGTGGAGGAGCAGGGGCCCACAGCACTTCTAGAAAGCCTCAATAAGTGTGTATTTACATATTACTTTTCTAATTTTAAAAATAATTTTTCAAAAGTTACCTGTTATTATTTTTATAAGTAGATTTTAGATAATTTTCTATAATTTATAAAACCTTCAGAGTTCCGATTCAAGCAGCATTATAAAAACATGAGAAATATGGAATATATGTAAAGAGGACATAAACCACCAACATTTTAATGCTCCTCTCATTTTCAATTATCAATGAACTAAAGGACAAGAGAACACGGATAAAGTAACAAGTCTATCACCACTCTGAGAAAAAAACTCTAAGCGCTGAACTAGTACTAGGAAAGGAAACATTTTTTGCTGTATGTTTCTACTACTAAGTGGCCTGGGTCTAGCAAATACTTCTTGCTACTAGCACTTACCCTGTCCCGTCCAATTGGCAGTGGATGTGCTGTGTACATATTTCTTTTGCCATCATAGCCAGGCTGCCGGTCACCAAATATTTGCATCTTGAAGTGACGCACCATTGTGTCTACCACCTCCCTTAACAGTAATTGAGACAATGGAGGTTAGCTTAGAGAAGCAGTGACCAGTCAGCAGCACCACACCCTACTCATCTAACTGTGGCTCACAGAGCCTTGGGAAAAAAAAAAAGAGTTAAAGTAACAATTGACTGGAGCAATTAAAAAATAGTTAACTAAAGTGAACAAATGCAGACATGAGATAACAAATGGGAAGAGCATAACATTTATGGCAACCTCTTAAATCTCTGCTTTCCAAAATCCTCTCCTGTGATAAAACACCTTACAAGAGTAAGATATCTTGAGTGTCTACACTGGCATGGCCATTCATGATTAACAATGATAAATCTGTTACCAAATAAAGATCATTATTGAACACTCATTTGGAAAAGAGAATGGGCAGAAGTTCAGAAATCTGAGAATCAATATAGCTACAATGCTTTGCATTGAAGGGATAAGTGAACACCTTAGCCTAGTGCTGGCTATTTATTATTCTGCATACTGTCTTATTATATTCCAAAGTGTTCCCAAGCAGTGCAGAAAGGGAATGTTGTCAAATATCCTCATTCCATAATGATTGCCAGTGTAGGTCATTTCTTTATAGAATGAAGCCTTTCCTGCCATCATTTGTAATGTTATTTAGTGTTCTTTCCAGGTCACACTGAATATAGGCCCTAAAATAAATGCAGTTCCAGGGACTGGATAGTAAGATGGAGATATGTGAATGTGTGAGATTTTAGAATGCTAAAGTTGATGAACAGTCAGGTGCTATGTCTTACCAACATATGTGAGCCCCATGTGTGGGAACTGGATCTTAAAAAACAAAATATATCACAACCAGCTAAGGTAGTAGTATTACTACAAATGAAATGTGTGGGAAAGACACATGCTTATAAACCAAATCATACAAATGAAAAAAAATTGAGGAGAAATGTCATTATTATTTCCAATTTTAAAAAGCTAACTTAAGAGGGGCCTTCCTGGTAGCCTAGGAGTTAAGTCTCAGTGCTACAACCTGATTGGTTCTGAGTTTGACCCCCGGCCAGGGAAGTGATCCATGTGGCACAGCAGATCTTTCCTATAAACCACTGCTCCCCTCAGCAGTGTATTTCAGTAGATCTGCCTGTTCAGCTCCCCACTCTGTCTCTGGTGAATCCTCTCAGCCCCCACCCTCTGCACCTCTGGCCTTTTCTTCAGTTCTTACATGCATAAATAAATAAGTAAATCTTTAAAAATAAAATAAAATTATGACCAACAAGTGTTTTTTGGTGGAGATATTTTTACTTCTGTGCTAATTTAATTCACAACAACTTTTCCAGACAAGTAGGGTTATGACTATTGTTCTCAAAGAGAAAAAAATAGAAATTCAGAATGGGCAGTGACCAGTCCCAGGTCACTCAGTCATCCCGTGACTGAGTTATATGACCCTAGACTAGTTATTTCAGCTCTCACATTTGAAAACTTATGATAGTCATAATGCCTAAAACAAAAGGTGTGGTATTAAGTGAATACATATACCTAAGATATTTGTAAGGATGCTTGTCACATACTACGTCTGCTTACTCTGGTGTGTTCCTGGGTATCACTCTCTTCTGAATGATCAATATTTTCCTCTCTACTGCATACAGCAGGTCTTCAAAGAAACATCTTTTGCTCAATATCATTTCCTTATAAAGTTGATGAGGGGAAAAAATCAGTTCCTAACCAGGTTCACTGTGTGTGTGGAATTTGCACATTCTCCCCACAACTACATGGGTTTTCTCGTGGTACTCTGGCCTCCTGCCCCCTCTCAGAGCTATGCATCTTAGGTTAACTGTCCCAGTCTGAGTGAGTGTGGGTATGTGGGAGTGTGTCCTATGAAGAAAGTGCATCAGGTGCCCACCTGTGCCTGAGTTGCTAAGATGGCTTTGGTCATCTACTACCCTGAACAGGGGTAAGTATGTTGGAAAATAAGTGAATGAGTGAATATAGATTATTGTTTAATAACAGTAGTATTTGGGGTCTTGATTTAGGAGTCTGGTGATTTTTTTTTATGTGTGTGGGTGTGACCAGAAATATGTCATAAGAACTTTAAACCTTGTTTATATCAACTAGTCTGTGGTAAAATTGGTTCTATTATATGTTGTTCTGTTTGAAGGTACAGTTTATGAGACTCTATGATGTTAAATGAGGATATATGGTATGATTTAGTTTTTCCCATGTCAAAAAAAAGTAAACTTTCTTGATTCCACTTCCTTTTCATCTGAACATCCACTCTTTAGTTCCCCTTTGCATTGAAGAAGTTATTTCTGATTGTTCTCCTATCTCAAACTTTCTCAAATAAGGCTTTCCCTCCACCAAAGCTGCTTTTATCAAGGGTTCCAGTGAGCTCTCCATATAGTGATGCTCATTGAACATTAGATGCTCATTCTCCCAACTCCACACATCTTCCCTTGCCTCCTCAATCTCTCCTGGTTTTCTCCTATCCCAATGGCCTCACTATGTCACTCTTAGTAATGATACTCGCCAATTTCCCCAATTTTAAAATACTGGAGCACCTCGGCACCCAGTCTCAGAGTCTTATTTTTTCTAACCACACTCACTTCCTACATATTTCATCCAGTCTCATAGCTTTACTCCAAAAATGGTGGGGACCAAATATTTATCTCCATTCTGGACCTCTCCCCTAAGTCCAACCTCATATATTCATATTCTTGCTCACCATCTCCACTGGAATGTCTCAGCCCTAACATATCAAAAATGTGTCTGTTGTGACTACCCCGATAGCTTATCCCAAAGTTTCCCCAATCAGTAAAAGGCAACTTCATTTTTCCACTTGCTCAGGACAAAACCCCTAGAGTCAGTCATGATTCATTTCCCTTTCTCATACCCATGTTCAATCCATCAGCAATACTTGTTGGAAATATCTTTAAGATATTTGTATATCTGATCACTTAGTATGATTATTACTTTTACTACCTAAGTCTAAGTCACCTTCATTTTTCACCTAAATCATTATATCTGACTCCTACTTGATTTCCATGCTTTCATCCTTACCTGCTAGAGTTCACTTTTAACACAGCAAACAGAGAGATTCAATAAAAATCATATCAGATGTCACATCAAAGTGCACCTAATCAGAGGCAAGGCTAAAGTCCTATGACTGCTCTAAGACTCTACATGACAGGCCCACTGGAGTTTCTCCAACCTTAGCTCCTATCATTTCCTCCCCTCAACCACTCCAGCAATATAGACCTAACTGCTACTGCATGCACATGCCATGCAAGCTGCTGCTTCTGCCTTGGATTCTAGTCAGGGCAGAGAGTGGGGGTGAGTGTATATGTGTGTGTAGTCAGTAGCTCACACCCACTTCCCCCATTTCCTATCCTCCATCCCTGTTTTATATTTCTTCATTGCATTTATTACCTAACAAATAACATGTATTATTTGCTTATTTATTTTTGGTCTTCCCCCATTATAGTCCAAGCACCTCAAGGATAGGAACTTTTGCTCTTTATTCATGCCCTATTTCTAGGGCACAGAATAATACAGGATACATAGTAAACACCCATTAAAATAAAATGTTGAATGGCATGTTAGCCAGTGCCATCAATTCTAGTACTAATGAGCTGTTATACAGTAACCAAAAGATTATGGACTTGTATGAAATAGTATCAGGAAGCCAAATAAATGACCTATAAGGAAGAAAAAAAAACAAAACAGCATAAACTCAAGCATTTGATAACAAAATCATATTTAGAAAAGCAAGGCCCTTACCATGTATAGACTGCTTGACTATCACAATGAGTAAAGACAGAAAAGGAAAGTGGGTGTGTTCAGCACACTGTAAGAATATCTGCTCCAAGAACATGTCTTCACAGTTGATAAATTCCTGCCAGCCAGATGATGCTTAAATCATCTAATTGTCTTAGATAATGCTTGAAATAAGCAGAGCTTCTTGCTGAACTTCCTTTTTTAATATATCAGGATGATTCTTCTCTTTACAGTTCCTCTTCACATGCCCAATCAAAACTTAATAAAATTTTAATTTCTAGATTGTTCTATTATCCATAGACAATAAGATCTTACCTATGCTCATAAACTTCTGCTACCCTTGGTCAATGAAAGAGTGACCTTTCTCCTGCACTCAATAGTTACTTACTGATTTGCCTTGATGTCGTTATCACTCTGCTAGGCTATACATGACCCTACATGATAATCATGTACGGGACAGCAAACCTGCTATCAAGAAGCTTATCATCTTAGAACAAAATGAAGTCTACATGGGGAAAGAATTTACAAAACAATATGATACATAAGAAAGTATAGGTATTTAAGTATATGTCTACTCATTAATCCTTACCTGTTGACTCGACGAGGTCGTTTTTCCGGTTTAATATCCACGTCATAGTGATACACATCTATTTTAGGAATCTGAACCTGAAAATGATTGGCTAACAGTCGAATTGGTTTTCCAACAGTTCCAAGGCCAGGACGACGAGGTGGCTGAAACAGGCTGGCTGGAGGTCCTGAAGAAATTGAGACATTTGATGAGTCACGTGGTCATGAAGGATGATATTCCTTTCATGACAATGATAAAATTATTGAGATCTTATTACTCACTGAACATAATCTGATATGAAGAGTGTAGGGTATCTTTTGACCTAGTGTTCTCTCGATTTCTAAATATTTTGCCATGTTGCTATTATTTTGATTATGGGAGACATCAAAATCATATTGGCAGTACAATGAACTCCTCTTAGATGTAGGGTACTGTATAAAATCTTTTATGAGCATTAGCAGATCCATAGCTACTCTTGAAAAGCTCTGTAAATGTAGTTCATTTAAAAATAAAAACATCTTTAAACTCCAAGGGGTCATCAACATGCTCAGGTTGCAGATGCCTTGTTTATCTTCCACTTAGTTTGCATTATTATAGCTTACACAGAAAGATGGGATTAAACAGAGGTAGGTTTATCATTTTTCAAGTTTTCAATAAAACTATATAAAAAATACTAGACTTTCTTGTTTATAATATAATTATTTTTAGAATATGGACAGCCTGAAATTTTTTGATAGGAAAGTCTATTTTATTTTGTCAATTAATATTTATTAGTTCAGAAAAAGACAAAGTCCCTGTCGTGAAGGAGTGTACAGTCTACACCAATGGTTCTTAGCTTAAAGGAGATTTTGTCACCCAGGAAACATCTGGCAAACATCTGAAGGTATTCTGGGTTGTTGCAACTTGGGAGGTGCTACTGACATGTAGTGGCTGGGGGCCCCAGGTATAGCTAAACATCCTATAATGCACAGGACAGTCTCCATAATAAAGAATTATCCAGTCCAAAATCTCAATAGGACTGAAGTTGAGACAGAACAGTCATTCCAAGTTATTCCACTGATGGTTCACAAGATATTTCACAAAAAGAAAGAATTGCTAAGCTAAAGAAACTGCATATTCTCTCCCCTTCTTAAAATTCTAATATTCTTTATTATAGTAAATCTTTTAAACAGTCATTTAACAAATGAATCGGTTTAAGTCATCATTGTCCACCAGAACTTTCTCATCTTAAAAAATAAAATCTTGGTGCCCTGTTTTAGTGCAAAGGGTTAAAGCACAGGACGGTGAAGCTATCCACAGCCACTGCAGCACAAGTTTGACCCCTGCCAAGGAGGTGACCCACATGGTACATTAGACCTCGCTCCTCTCACCTGCTGCTGCCCTCAGAAGTGTATTTCAGTGAATCCATCTGTTCTGCTCCTCATTCTGTCTCTGATGAATCCTCTCATTCCCCAAACCTCTGGTCTGTACCCAATCCTTAAATAATAAGGATTATTTACACATAAATAAATAAATCTTTTTTTTAAATCTCTCTTGAAAAAGCCAAATATCTATCAGTATTCATCAGGAAAGGATTTTAAGAACATAGTCTGGGAGATATTTGTCTATAGAAAATCTTTCTCCTTTTTGGTGATAAGGGTAAATGGACATTGGTCTTAAAAAATAAACATCTTTTCTGAAGTGAATAGGTGTTGAATAAAATGAGCTGTGATTACAATGGAAAGTTACAGCTAGTCCTCTTATTGCAATGGCATTTCAATGAGAACAAAGAAAATTCATTGAGAAGAGAAAATTTTGAAGCAAGAAGTTGTTCATGTTCAACATGACTTAGGAAAATAAAAGCAAAGGCTTTATGAAATTTGTGTTGATAAATATTCACATACTAATTCCTTTTTCTTAATTGAAGTAATATTGCATTAGTGTTATATAAATGTATATATACTTATTTACATATATAAATATATATCAGGTGTTCATCAATGAAAATCAACCAATGCATATACTAATTCTTAAATTATTGATGATCTTTTCACATATTTTTGTTGTCCATCTTATACCTCAGTTCTACTCATCCCTCAAAACTGAGGTCAGATGTAATCTCTCTGGAAAGCCTTTCTTAAATCTCCCAGACTGAAGTACATCTATCCCTAAAACCATCTATTTGAGAGCACTTAACACAAGTTGTTAGAAAAAAAATGTTAAATTACTCTGATTCCTCCACTAAACTGTAAAATCTTAGAAGAAATGGACCTCCAGTAACTGTTCTCTCTTCAGGACCTCATTCAAATATCAGCACATTGTAGGAATTCAACAACTTCATTAACATGTTCCCTATACTAATACTCCTTGTAGTAGTTCCAGATAGAAACTTAATGAAAACCCATTCTTAAAATCCAACAACTGACAATACTTTTTAAAAAAGAGTTTTATGGATTTATGCATATAAGATGTGGGTGTAGGCGAGAGGTGCAGGGGGTGAGAGGATTCACCAGAGACTGAGTGAACAGGTAGATTTACTGAAATACACTGCTGAGGGGGGGCAGCGGGGTCTGCTAAACCATATGGGTTAGTTCCCTGGTCGGGTCAAACTTGTCTCGCAGTGGCTGTGGATAGCTTCATAGTGCTGAGACTTAGCCCCTTGCACCACCAGGGAGCCCAACTGACAATACTTTTCACTGAAGCAAAATAATTTATACTAAAAATATTATCAGTAGGTGGAGTTGAGTTCCATCTCTGGTATATAAAGGGATCCACTCTGGGTGTGATAAGACTTTTACAAACAAGGTAAGAGGTAATAAATCATATGTGACAGGCACGCTGAATTAACCCAATTAAATCACATAGATATACCAGTCCCATATATTCCAAGATACACTTAAGCCATCACTGTATCATAAAATTGGAAGAAATTCAGCTTTATGATAGAAATTTGGAAATTTGGACCCAAGGACATATGACTTTGGTTTTAAACCCTGACCAAATCCAGGTATCCTTACCCCCAATCTAGTGTTTTTGTTTCTTTAACCTGACAATCTCATGGTAGCTACTGTAACTCTCCAAAGTACTTGATGCCAATGAAACGGAGAAAGTGAAAAAAAAGGGGGGGGTGAGAATTAAGAAGTAGAGAAAAGAAATAGTGTACGTGTTCTTTTTTCTTGGCAAGAGAGAAAAGTTAGAAAAAGATTTGAAAACTTGGAAAACTATATTCTAAAATTTTCCATTCCATAAGCTGTTTTCTTTGAAGTTAGGACACTATCTGGAACCAAACTACCTGGGCTTCGATCCTGGTTTTACTATTCCCTAACTGCATGATGCTAGACTATATTCTTCTGTGCCTCAGGTTCTTCACCTGTAACACGGGTAAGGAATGACAATAACAACACTGCCATCATTCGCTATTGTGAGGAACCTGTGAGACAATGTATATAAGGGCTTAACATAGATATGTCACAACAATAAGTACTCAGTATCACTCCGTTTTCATAAATGTGCTCAAAGATGCCTGGGCTTTAGACTGTGGGTATCTCCACGATTGGTGACAAAGTCAGAAAATCACATCTTCTGAAAAGGAAACAAGTACAATTCAACCTAGACTGAATGTCAGTCTTCAATGAAGAGGAGGGCATGTAGAAGTCTCTTGACCCAGACAAATCCTCATTTTATCACTCAACTTTGAGATTTTGATGAAGTTAGTTAAGCTCTCTGAACCTCTTCCTTCAACTGTAAAATGGGGATGATATCTGCCTTGCCTACCTCACAGAGGACCAAAAAAAGCTGATAGCTAAAAAAAAAAAAAAAAAAAAAAAGGAAAGCTCTTTCCAAATGGCAAAGTGCTGTAAAAAACAAAAACACAAAACAAAACAAAACAAAAAAAAAGGCCAAATTAATGGTAACTCAATTATATTTCCAAGTTAATGTCAGAAATTGAAACAGGGTGGGTAAGGGCATAACAAAATTAAGAGCACTTCAATGATTGTTTGAGGGAGGCACAAAGCACTAAATAGGTATATTTTGACAAAGAAGTAGGGTTGCTTCTCTGGGTTCTAAAACAGTCTGTATGAAGTATCCCACAGGACTATCAACTCCCTTTGCGCTGATTCTATGCTCAACAAACAGCTTCTTACTAATTACATTTCCAAGATACTCTGGACTCTGCTAGACAGCAGACAGGAAAATATTCGAGGCAACAGACAAGATCTATAAGACATTTTGGCTTATCCAGTATTAGTATCTTTAAAATGTGATTAATGAGAAGTAATATTCCACAAACTAAACAATCCTGGCTGAAAAGAGAAGTTTAAGTTCTCAAAGCCTGCAAAAGCTAACATCTAGCAAAAAAGGGTCCCTGGAATGTTTCAACAGCACCAGGTTCACCTTTTCCAATAAATTCGGCTTGTGCACAACTATAGAGCCTCTTTCAATATCAGCTAATAAATGCAACAATTGCTTCAGTTATTAGTTACTAATGGGGGGAGGGTGGGAGGAGACATTAGTTGAGGATTTAGAATGCATTAGTTGTTATAAAAAGATGTTTCACATACATTATCTCATTTCATTCTCACAACAATCGTGCAGCATATAACTATTATTACCCTCATTTTATAGATGAGGAAATGAAAGTTCAAAGGAATTAAGCAATTTGCTCAAGGTTATACAACTATTAAATTACTAGATTGGATTTGAGCAGAAGTCTGTTACATTCCTAAAGACCTGATCATAAGTTTAGCCCAGGGATATAGCTACAGTAACCCAATGTAATACTCAAACTAAGGTTTATCAAATAATATTACTGTGACAAAACCAAATTATTTTTAAACAGCATATGAAATTTCATTATGAGGGCCTTTTAAAATACTTTATGTAGAAAATTAAGGTGGGGCTTAATCACTCAGCTATGTAAACAAGTTCTAAGTAAACAAACCTGCAAAGTTGCCCAACTCAAACAATAAACTCAGTTTTCCATGCTCTAAGAAAGCGAAATGCTCTACAACGATGTAGATAAGGTTTGATAATAAAGTTAGTTCTATCACACCATTGAGCCCTTAACCCTGTCCCATTTAGTCAATGCAAAAGCAATTTGGGATTCCAGGAGGGAGCTCCAGGCTCCAATCTGCAGAGCATTTCTCACAACCTAGAACAGTTCTTCTGTTTTAGACATAACAGATAACCAGAGTCTACTCATAAAGGGGAGGAATTACACTTTCCAAAGCACTTTCTCCTTCATTTGTTCCTTCAACCACCCATAATAACCCAGTCAGGAGAACTCCAGGCATTGAAGGGTCTAGTGCTGCCTGGTAACTCCTGTCACTGAGGCACTAGCAGAGACCACTCTAGGGCTGTCACACTGACAGGCAGACAGAGGCATAGAGCCGTTCCAGGAGATTTCAAGGCCTTGGAGAAAGGGTGGGAACTTCGCCTCTTGGCCTTTAGGGGTCATGAGAAGTATCTGAGGGAAGTTCTCCTTCCTTACTACGGGCTCTGACCTTCTGCCAGTGCAAAGAAAATTAGGCATAAGGCCCCACTCCAAGAACCGTGGTGGTAGGTGGAGAGTCCTTCCTGGTCAGGTCCAGGCCGGGCCTCTGCAGCGCACCTGGCACAAATCGACCCTTGTGAGGCCCAAACTGGCCTGGCACAACCCTAGTGCTCAGACCCATCTCGCTGAAATTGGCCGCTCTCCCCGCTACTTGGGCTTCCCTTCCTTAGACCTTGAGATCTGGCTTATCAGTCCAGGCTGGGGCGCGGTCCTCAGCCCCGGAGGCCCAGGTCAGCTTCCTCCTCCTTGTGCAATGGGGCACGGGTCTCCTTCCCCAAGGCCTGACCGCCCGAGCCCGGCTACGAGCTAGCGCACGGTGGCGACTGGGAGCGGCGGTCCGGCCCGCACACCCACCACCGGTCCCGGGCCCGACCCCAGCCCCGGCCCCAGCGCGCTCCTCACCGGGTCCCAGCGCCTCC